CTATTAAACCTAAATTGGGGTTATCCGCTAAGAACTACGGTAGAGCAGTTTATGAATGTCTACGTGGTGGACTTGATTTTACCAAAGATGATGAGAATGTGAACTCCCAACCATTTATGCGTTGGAGAGACCGTTTCTTATTTTGTGCCGAAGCAATTTTTAAAGCACAGGCTGAAACAGGTGAAATCAAAGGGCATTACTTGAATGCTACTGCGGGTACATGTGAAGAAATGATTAAAAGGGCCATATTTGCCAGAGAATTGGGAGCTCCCATCGTAATGCATGACTACTTAACAGGTGGGTTCACTGCAAATACTAGCTTGGCTCATTATTGCCGAGATAATGGTCTACTTCTTCACATCCATCGCGCAATGCACGCAGTTATTGATAGACAGAAGAATCATGGTATGCACTTTCGTGTACTAGCTAAAGCTTTACGTCTGTCTGGTGGAGATCATATTCACGCTGGTACAGTAGTAGGTAAACTTGAAGGAGAAAGGGACATAACTTTGGGCTTTGTTGATTTACTACGTGATGATTTTATTGAAAAAGATCGAAGCCGTGGTATTTATTTCACTCAAGATTGGGTTTCTATACCAGGTGTTCTGCCCGTAGCTTCGGGGGTATTCACGTTTGGCATATGCCTGCTTTGACCGAGATCTTTGGAGATGATTCCGTACTACAATTCGGTGGAGGAACTTTAGGACACCCTTGGGGAAATGCACCGGGTGCCGTAGCTAATCGAGTAGCTTTAGAAGCATGTGTAAAAGCTCGTAATGAGGGACGTGACCTTGCCCGCCAGGGTAATGAAATTATCCGCGAGGCTGGCAAATGGAGTATGGAACTAGCTGCTGCTTGTGAAGTATGGAAGGAGATCAAATTTGAATTCGAAGCAATGGATACTTTAGATAAATAAAATTTGAATTCGAAGCAATGGATACTTTGTAATCCAGTAATTACTGTTGGTTTGTTGAATTGCAATTAAACTCGGCCCAATCTTTTACTAAAAGGATTGAGCCGATCCTAAAGATTGGTGTATTCTTTTCTATCCTATTCGTTCCGTGTTGGAATAGAAACTTATTGTATTAGTAGACGAGATTTTATTGTATTAGTAGACGATATTTTACGAAAAAGGTTCTTGATAGGAGAAAAATTTCTTTTTTCAATTTTTTCAGTGCGAATTTTACACAACATAGGGAAATCGCTATTTCTAATTGAAAATTTATATTTATAATTGAAAAGAAAAAAGTAAAGTATCATATATCATATATAATGAACTGATACTCCAGGTTCTCACAAACGAGAATCCTTTACTTCAATATTCACTCATTATTAGTTTAATGATTGTATCCATTATGCGTATTCCGATAGGAAATAAATGATTTTTTTTTTTTCATCAAATGACTATTCATCTATTATACTTTACATCTAAATAGAGGCAAGAAAACTCTATGGAAAAATTATGGTTCAATTTTATCTTGTCTAAGGGGAATTAGAATACAGATGTGGGCTAAGTAAATCAATGGATAGCCTTGGTCCTATTGAAAATACTAGTGTAAACGAAGACCCGGTTAGAAATGATATGGATAAAAACATTCATGGTTGTAGTGACAGCTCTAGTTATTACAGTAAGGTTGATCATTTAGTTGGCGTCAAAGACATTCGGAATTTCATTTCTGATGACACCCGAATTAGGGTTTTAATTAGGGATAGTAATCAGGATAATGATAGTAATCAGGATAATTATTCTCTATATTTTAATAGTGAAAATCAAATTTTTGAGATTGACAATGACGATCCCCACTATGATTTTAACTTGTATGATACTAACTATAGTTGGAATAATCACATTAAGAGTTGTATTAACTCTTATCTTCGTTCTCAAACCTGTATTGATAGTTCCATTTTAAGTGGTAGTGACAATTACAATGATAGTTATATTTATAATTGCATTTGTGGTTACATTTGTGTTGAAGGTGGAAATAGTAGTGAAGACAATGGTTTAACTCTAAAAGAAAGTTGCGCAAATGGTAATGATTTAACTCTAAAAGAAAGTTGCGCAAATGGTAATGATTTAACTCTAAAAGAAAGTTGCGCAAATGGTAATGATTTAACTCTAAAAGAAAGTTGCGCAAATGGTAATGATTTAACTCTAAAAGAAAGTTGCGCAAATGGTAATGATTTAACTCTAAAAGAAAGTTGCGCAAATGGTAATGATTTAGAAAGGCCTAAAGATTTCAAGCATTTGTGGGTTCTATGCGAAAATGAAGATTGTTATGGATTAAATTATAAGAAATTTCTTAAGCCAAAAATGAATATTTGTGAATACTGTGGATATCATTTGAAAATGAGTAGTTCAGATAGAATCGAACTTTCGATTGATCCAGGTACTTGGGATCCTATGGATGAAGACATGATCTCTCTGGATCCCATTGAATTTCAGTATGACGAAGATGGTATTGATTATGATCCATTTCAGTCTGACGAAGATGGTATTGATTATGATCCATTTCAGTCTGACGAAGATGGTTCTGACGAAGCTGACGAAGATGGTTCTGACGAAGCTGACGAAGATGGTTCTGACGAAGCTGACGAAGATGGTTCTGACGAAGCTGACGAAGATGGTTCTGACGAAGCTGACGAAGATGGTTCTGACGAAGCTGACGAAGATGGTTCTGACGAAGCTGACGAAGATGGTTCTGACGAAGATGGTATTGATTATGATCCATTTCAGTCTGACCAAGAAGAGCCTTATATGGATGGTATTGATTCTGATCCATTTCAGTATGACGAAGATAAAGTTCAGTATGACGAAGATAAAGTTCAGTATGACAAAGATAAAGTTCAGTTTGACAAAGATAAAGTTCAGTATGACAAAGATAAAGTTCAGTTTAACAAAGATAAAGATGGTATTAATTATGATCCATTTCAGTTTAACAAAGATAAAGATGGTCTTGATTCTGATCCATTTCAGTATGACGAAGATAAAGTTCAGTATGACGAAGATAAAGTTCAGTATGACAAAGATAAAGTTCAGTTTGACGAAGATAAAGATGGTATTGATTCTGATCCATTTCAGTATGACGAAGATAAAGTTCAGTATGACAAAGATAAAGTTCAGTTTGACAAAGATAAAGTTCAGTTTGACAAAGATAAAGTTCAGTTTGACAAAGATAAAGATAAAGATGGTATTGATTATGATCCATTTCAGTTTGACAAAGATAAAGATGGTATTGATTCTGATCCATTTCAGTATGACGAAGATGGTATTGATTCTTATCCGTTTGAGTATGACGAAGATGGTATTGATTCTGATCCGTTTGAGTATGACGAAGAGCCCTATAAAGATCGTCTTGATTCTTATCAAAGAGAGACAGGATTAACTGAGGCTATTCAAACAGGTACGGGTCAACTAAACGGTATTCCTATAGCAATCGGGGTTATGGATTTTCAGTTTATGGGGGGTAGTATGGGATCCGCAGTAGGCGAGAAAATCACCCGTTTGATCGAATATGCTACCAATAATTTTTTGCCTCTTATTCTAGTGTGTGCTTCCGGAGGAGCACGCATGCAAGAAGGAAGTTTGAGCTTGATGCAAATGGCTAAAATATCTTCTGCTTTATATGATTATCAATCAAATAAAAAGTTATTTTATGTATCAATTCTTACATCTCCTACTACTGGTGGAGTGACCGCGAGTTTTGGTATGTTGGGGGATATCATTATTGCTGAACCCAATGCCTATATTGCATTTGCGGGTAAAAGAGTAATTGAGCAAACATTGAATATAACAGTACCTGAAGGTTCACAGGAGGCTGAATATTTATTCCATAAGGGTTTATTCGATCCAATCGTACCACGTAATCCTTTAAAGGGTGTTCTGAGTGAGTTATTTCAGTTCCACGGTTTTTTTCCTTTGAATCAAAATTCAATCAAGTAGAGTCTTAAGTTAAATTATTTTCTTTGTAGTGAAAAGGCAGTTAGTTAGTTTATCAGAATCAAAGTCAAAGCCCGCATAATGGGCTTTGACTTTGTGACATAAAATGGAATTGTCGAAAAACGAATTTTATCTTGCTCTATTGCGTATGTTTATATAATTCAAATATAGAAAAAATATAAATATAGAGTTTTGCATCTTTCTATATCTCCCGAGAATTCTATTTTTACTAAAAATCCCTGTTCTTGGATCGGATTCTAACGAATCGAATCTTTCGACAATTTGTAATAAACTCTTTCTCAATTTGTAATAAACTCTTTCTTTATTAAATTCAAATTAGAAATTAAAATTAGAAGACAAGAACAATAGAATAATAATAATAAGAAAAGTAGGAATAAAGTAAGATAATAAAGAAAGTGGATTATCTTATCATACACCTATTTTATTTCATTTAGAAAGATGGGCAAGTCCCTTTATTTAATTCTACATTCCTTGCACTTATTAGATAAGATATATATATTAGATATATATACTCGCTTAGATATACTTAGTATTTAGATATACTTAGTATTTAGATATACTTAGTATAATATTTAGATATACTTAGTATTTCGATATACTTAGTATAATATTTAGATATACTTAGTATAATATACGAATTATAATATAATTATTATTATTATAAGATATATTTATAACTAACTTTATAACTAACAATATAACAATAACAGGTACGAATATTAAATTGAGGTACCCATTTTATGACAATTCCCTCTATTTTTGTGCCTTTAGTAGGCCTAGTATTTCCGGCAATTGCAATGGCTTCTTTATCTTTGTATGTTCAAAAAACTAAGATTTTTTAGATTCGATGGGGCCAAGGCCAAGACCAAATCTTATCTATTTTTTTTTTCACGACTTAGATGCCACGGATATCTATTTAGTAGAATATTGTATAACATCCATCCGGCTTCCCCGAACATAAATGAAAAAGCTCCTCTTATGCATACGTAAACATGATATAGGGGTAAATGAATTATAGCAAGTGGATCGGTACCGGACGAATGTATGAAATTAAAGTCTATATATCTAGTAGATCTGTATAGGGGATCATATAAAGGGGATGATTTTAGATCTAAGCAATTTGATGAATTACTTCTAAAAGTTCATATCAAAATAGCACTAGTTGATGAGAGTTACTTCGGAAACAAAAAAAGTAAAGTCAAATTTTTTTGCTTATTTTCTCAATTCCAATAAAATGCAACTGGATCTAGTATGTATGAGTTGGCGATCAGAATCTATATGGATAGAATTTATAGTGGGGTCTCGAAAAACAAGCAATTTCTGCTGGGCCTTTATTCTTTTTTTTGGTTCATTAGGGTTTTTATTAGTTGGAACTTCTAGTTATCTTGGTAGGAATTTGATATCTTTATTTCCGTCTCAGCAAATAGTTTTTTTTCCACAAGGAATCGTGATGTCTTTCTATGGGATCGCGGGTCTCTTTATTAGTTCCTATTTGTGGTGCACGATTTTTTGGAATGTAGGTAGTGGTTATGATCGATTCGATAGAAAAGAGGGAATAGTATGTATTTTTCGTTGGGGTTTTCCTGGAAAAAATCGTCGCATCTTTCTACGATTCCTTATGAAAGATATTCAGTCCATCAGAATAGAAGTTAAAGAGGGTATTTATGCTCGGCGTGTCCTTTATATGGAAATCAGAGGCCAGGGGGCCGTTCCCTTGACTCGTACTGATGAGAATTTGACTCCACGAGAAATTGAGCAAAAAGCTGCTGAATTGGCCTATTTTTTGCGTGTACCGATTGAAGTCTTTTGAAATGAATTGCAGAATAAATGCTTTCTCGGCAGGAGGAAAAAACTCAAGACAAGAAGCCTCTTTTTTCTATAGCAGAACTAAACTGAAGTTTCTTAAGAATGCCCACTCGAACCAAAGAAGACGTATACGGAAGAGTCATAACATAAAACAAAACTGTTTTTTTTTTTTGTCCACAAAAATTGTTTTTTATGCGTCTGTAAATGTAAAACCACTCAACTTAATTCAGTAACAAAACAAGCAAGAAATCGAAATAATGGATTCATCTCATATATCAAAGTATTTCGAAATATTTAACTTTTTATTTTCAATATTTGGAGTTGATACGTTAGATACAGATAGATTATATCTTGTAAATTTTCTCTACTTTCCTTTTGTCAATCAGCCCCTCCCCTTTTATCCTTTCTTTTGTGCTCCTTAAGAACTAAACAAGTAGATTTCTTTCTTATAACATAATGATAAATGTAATGATAACTTTTCTGTCTTTTTTTGTCACTCATTTTTGATCATCATAATATTTTTCATAATTTTTTTTTTTTCAATTATTCCCGGACTCTAGACTATATACAGTCTAGATAACCCGCGAAAATTTTTCGACATATTTGATTGATATCTTGATATAGACAGGGAGCTCCTTCGTCTCAAAATCTGAATAGAATAATCTTTATTATTTGAAGCGGTTCTTTCGGGCAGTTATCGAAAGAGGGCAATTGCTTCGAATTTGATCAATTGAGATATCTGGAAACAATAATATATATATATATTTCATTCGAACATTCGAATTCAAAGTGGATTCTTATTTTCTATTTCTGTACTCTTTTTAGATTCAAGGACTAAGCACTGAATCAAAAAAAAAAAAAACAGAGAATAGATTCATGGGCCCCTACCTTATAATTTATCTTATAATTTATAATATAATGAAAGTCATGCTTGATAGAAAGATTAGATCACATAAAGTCAACGAATGAGGTGGGTTCATTAACAATTCACAGATGAAAAAATGGCAAAAAAGAAAGCATTCACTCCCCTTCTATATTTTGCATCTATAGTATTTTTGCCCTGGTGGATCTCTCTCTCATTTAATAAAAGTCTGAAATCTTGGATTACTAATTGGTGGAATACTAGGCAATCCGAAACTTTTTTGAATGATATTCAAGAAAAAAGTATTCTAGAACAATTCATAGAAGTAGAGGAACTCCTCCTGTTGGACGAAATGATAAAAGAATACCCGGAAACACATCTACAAAAACTTCGTATAGGAATCCACAAAGAAACGATCCAATTGATCAAGATGCACAATGAGGATCGTATCCATACGATTTTGCACTTCTCGACAAATCTAATCTGTTTCGTTATTCTAAGTGGTTATTCTATTTTGGGTAATGAAGAACTTGTTATTCTTAACTCTTGGGTTCAAGAATTCCTATATAATTTAAGCGACACAATAAAAGCTTTTTCTATTCTTTTATTAACTGAGTTCTGTGTCGGATTCCATTCGCACCACGGTTGGGAACTAATGATTGGCTATATCTACAAAGATTTGGATTTGCTCATAATGATCAAATTATATCTGTTCTTGCTTGTACCCTTCCAGTCATTCTAGATACAATTTTTAAATATTCGATCTTTCGTTATTTAAATCATGTATCGCCGTCACTTGTAGTTATTTATCATTCACTGACTGACTGAAAAATGATTCACGGATTCAATTAGAATCTTTCTTACTTTGTATATAAGCAAAGAATGCAAAGTCGTACTTACTTTACTCTTTCTACCCATCAGGGGAATACAATTCCTCCTCTATTTCAGTAAATTTTTTTTTTTTTCAGTAAAAGTAAATAGCAGAATCGTGGATAGGGAACTATACTAGTGACCTACCTAATTTTATTGTAGAAATTTTCGGGATCAATGATTGTACCATGCAAACTAGAAATACTTTTTCTTGGATAAAGGAGGAGATTACTCGATCCATTTCCGTATCGCTCATGATCTATATAATAACCGGGGCATCCATTTCAAATGCATATCCCATTTTTGCGCAGCAGGGGTATGAAAATCCACGAGAAGCAACTGGGCGTATTGTATGTGCCAATTGCCATTTAGCTAATAAACCCGTGGATATTGAGGTTCCACAAGCGGTACTTCCTGATACTGTATTTGAAGCGGTTGTTAGAATTCCTTATGATATGCAACTGAAACAAGTTCTTGCTAATGGTAAGAAAGGGGCTTTGAATGTGGGTGCTGTTCTTATTTTACCGGAGGGGTTTGAGTTAGCCCCACCTGATCGTATTTCGCCCGAGATGAAAGAAAAGATAGGCAATCTGTCTTTTCAGAACTACCGCCCCACTCAGAAAAATATTCTTGTGATAGGTCCTGTTCCTGGTCAAAAATATAGTGAAATCACCTTTCCTATTCTTTCCCCAGACCCTGCTAGTAATAAGGATGTTCATTTCTTAAAATATCCCATATACGTAGGCGGAAATAGGGGAAGGGGTCAGATTTATCCCGACGGGAACAAAAGTAACAATACAATTTATAATGCTACGGCAACAGGTATAGTAAGCAAAATCATACGAAAAGAAAAAGGGGGGTACGAAATAACCATAACGGATGCATTGGATGGACATCAAGTGGTTGATATTATCCCCCCAGGACCAGAACTTCTTGTTTCAGAGGGTGAATCTATCAAACTTGATCAACCATTAACAAGTAATCCTAATGTGGGTGGATTTGGTCAGGGGGATGCAGAAATAGTACTTCAAGATCCACTACGTGTCCAAGGCCTTTTGTTCTTCTTGGCATCTATTGTTTTTGCACAAATCTTTTTGGTTCTTAAAAAGAAACAATTTGAAAAGGTTCAAGTGTCCGAAATGAATTTCTAGATCCGTGGATTTATCAACATCAAATTTGTAAAAAAGAACAAATTCTTCCTGGCAATTAGGTTAGGTATGATGAAAAAAGTATGAAAAGTCTTTTGCTTGTTTATATTCTTTCTCTAGGAATTACTTTTACCGCATTCAAAATCTGTATATTGTGAAGAAGACTATTTGTCTTTACCCCTTCTTTTCTTTTTTCAATCTAAATGGGAGGGGTGTAATTATATCCCTATTGTCAGATTGAAATGTCACAGAATGGGTTTTGTTTTCTAAATTCAATTTGATTAGATACTAAACATAAGATAAGTAAGCGGAGAATAGAAAGGAAGGATAAATGAGGGGAACAAATAATTACAGGGAGTATTCTTCGTCTTCCTAGCCTTCGGCACAAGAAAAGGATGTGTAAAATTCCTTTTCTTGTGTCGAAATAATAACAATTCCGGATCCCATTCGTCAAAGATTTCTATTCTTAGTTTATATTTTTCCAGATTTTTCAGAACCCTTTATTTTTTTAGATTTACTTATAATAGATAATAGATTATAATAGATAATAGAATAAGTAATAAAGTAATCGAATAAGTAATAAGGATAATATAATAAGTATAAAATAAGTATAAATAAGTATAAAATAAGTATAAGTATAAATAAGTATAATATAATATAATAAGTAATGGACAACCAAAAAAAAGAGAAGGAATCCTTTTTTTTATAAATATAAAATAGAAGCAAGGCGATGAACTTATAAAAAAATTTCAAACTTTGATGAAATACTAAAATAAATAGAGTAAGGTTAGACTAGTCTAGAAAGGGTTTGCTTGATATCTGGTCGACAGAAAAAAAAAAGAAATATTAAAATTAAATATTAAAATATTAAAATTAAATATTAAAAAAAATTAAATATTAAAATTAAATATATATTGTGATTGTGTCATCCAGGAAAAGGAAATTGAGTGATTCCTTTTTTTCTTCTAACCTTGAAAGTATCGATAGATACTATCGAAGAACAGATGCTATGAATCAATTAATCGAGTTCATTTTTCAAAAACATCATCGGAAAAAGTGATCTATTTGTTGTCATTTATATTTATACGAACAAAATATTATGATCATTAAGAATTCAACGGGACCCCTCCTCGCGAATCAGACAAAGAAAGAGGAGGCGGGCCCCGTTGAGTTCTTACACTTTCATGCCTATAACTTAGTTCATCCCATTATTACATATTACAGGGACGAACCCAATCCAGAATATGAACCATAAAAGAAAATACCTATTAAACCGATCACAGGAATACCAGTTACCGTACCTATTATCCAAAGAGGAATCCTTCCAGTAGTATCGGCCATTTATCCCGCTTCCCTCCACATTTCATCAAGTGGTCATGCTAAAGACATAAACAGTCATAGATAATTATGAGATGCAATCCTTCCGAATGGGATAAGAGAATTCCTACTATTATTTAGTATTCTACTACTCTTTTTTTCTTAATTGAAGAAATAATTGGAAAATAAAACAGCAAGTACAAAAATGAGTAATAACCCCCAGTAGAGACTGGTACGATTCAATTCAACATTTTGTTCGTTCGGGTTTGATTGTGTCATAGCTCTATAATTAATTCGGATTAGGTTTATCGTTGGATGAACTGCATTGCTGATATTGACCCCAAAAAAGAAACGGTAGGTACAGCTAGTCCGTGAACAGCCAACCATCGCACTGTAAAAATTGGATAGGTTCGATCTATGGTCATTGGGTCCTCCTAAAAAGATCTACTAAATTCATCGAGTTGTTCCAAAGAATCAAAACGGCCGGTTATTAATGGAATTCCTTGTCGGCTCTCTGTAAAATACTCGTTTGGACGAGGGCTTCCAAACACATCATAAGCTAAACCTGTGCTGACGAATAACCAACCCGCAATGAATAGGGAAGGTATAGTAATACTATGAATGATCCAGTATCGAATACTGGTAATAATATCAGCAAAAGAACGTTCTCCTGTGCTTCCAGACATGCTGAGCTCCGCATATTCTTGTAGGGGATCGATTCCGTAAAAGATGAGATCAGTAAACGGAAATTCACTGAAATTCAATCTTTGTGAGATCGTCAATATTGTACCAAAGGTATTTTTAGAGTATACCGAATCAGTATAGCTATCCTTCTTCTGACACAGCAACGCAATTTCAAACAGTATATCGACATGAAGTGCTAGATAATTTCTTTCTTCTTCTTGCTTGTCGATGTATAACCACGTATCATGCGATAGAAATTCCTCAAATTCCTGGAATATAATATAGGGGATTCTATTATTGGTTTGGGGCTAGAAACGGAAGATCAGGTAACCCGTGAATCCAACAAGTTTATAATAATTCATGAAGGAAATTATCATATTTCCGCAAGTCAATTAGATGCGAAATCTAAAAATTGACTTTTTTTCGTAATTGCATAAGAGGTTTGTTTTTTGTTGTAAGCCCTCCTTTTTTTATTTTAAGGAATTGCTTAGTCGTCTAGTAACAAGTAAGAGTAGTCGATAGTATTAGATATAGATAAAAAAAGAGCAAGGAATAAAAAAAAATTCTACTAATCAATATTTGTGAGGCGCCTTTCTTGTATTCTTGTATTAGATCCAAAGGTTTTTTCTTGACCTAACTACAAAGATGATGAATCTATTTCTTTTTCTTTTCTACTCTTGTCCTGCCGCTCTATTTTGTGAATACCGTTTAGAATGATTGATGAATCAAAAAATTTCAATTGAACTTATTCTTTCAATTGGTATTTTGCTTATCCCCGTCTCTTTTAAAAATTTGAAACTTAGGTAAGTGCTTTATAAACATATGTATAAAAAGAACAATTTCATTTAGCTCCTTCATGCCTACTCTAACTAGTTATTTCGGTTTTTTACTAGCGGCTTTAACTATAACCTCAGCTCTATTTATTGGTCTGAGTAAGATACGACTTATTTGAAAATTAATTGAATGAACGAACAATTAATAAAAACAAAGTTTTCTGTCCTATTCCATATATTCTATAGTTCCTTACCGTGTTAATTATCAATTATTAGTTATTGATATTCATGGGCAATAGAGATTAATATTTAGGGATAGATATTACCTTTCTTTTTCTCCTTTCAAATAAATTGAAATGATTGAAGTTTTTCTATTTGGAATCGTCTTAGGTCTAATTCCTATTACTTTGGCTGGATTATTCGTAACCGCATATTTACAATACATACGTGGTGATCAGTTGGACCTTTGATTAATTAACATCTCTTTTTTTGACTGACCCCTTTAATTTTAATTTAATTAATTTAATTCAAGGAGGTCAAATTCGAATTGCTGTTCAATTTTTTTTTTTTTTTTTTTTTTTTCAGTTCGGTGTAATTTTCGACTTAACAAGAGCGGAATCACGCTCTGTAGGATTTGAACCTACGACATTGGGTTTTGGAGACCCACGTTCTACCGAACTGAACTAAGAGCGCTTTCTTATCATAATAAATAAGACTGTAAAAAAGAGGATTCTTTTATTTTATAACCCCAATACATCGTGCACACCTATACTATCATATATCATATATAATATGAGAAAATGATAGATTATGTATGCTTAATTTTAATCAATCTAAAACTAAAATGGCTCCCTCCTTACTGCTCAAAGGAGAAGTAATAGGTAGGGATGACAGGATTTGAACCCGTGACATTTTGTACCCAAAACAAACGCGCTACCAAGCTGCGCTACATCCCTTTCAATTGGCCTACGATGTTATTGTAGAGAATCCCTGTCTTGTTTTCCACACCCTTATTTCATCTATTGATATACAAAAATTATCTTTCCATTTCCTCTTTTTGGTCTCATATCATATAACAACCATATAATGAATAATAAATGAATCTTTTTGGCGGGAATTCTCAGGCAGAAAGGGACCTATTTTGCTGTTTTAAGAAAAGGAAAATCTTATCTATCGAATCATTGTACATTTAAATTTTAATTTTGAATTAGGAATTCCGGGTACAAATATACAAATACAAGTGGTCTTTAACCACACATACATGTGATTATATATGTATTACCATAATGTATGTAATACGATAAAGAAGGAGGATTTTAAATGCGAGATCTAAAAACATATCTTTCCGTAGCACCGGTACTAAGTACTCTCTGGTTCGGTTCTTTAGCGGGTTTATTGATAGAGATCAATCGTTTCTTCCCGGATGCGTTAACATTCCCTTTTTTTTAATTCTAGTTATTGTCGCGGGACGGGGTGAAAAAGATTAGATCGATATACAATCAAATATCTGTGACTAATCTCTCGCCCCCCCTTGACTTTAGTTGTTTTTAGAATTATAATTATATAAGAAATGAATTCTAATTATATAAGAAATAATTCTATTTAGTTTTTTTAGAATTCTAATTATATAAGAATTATATAAAATAAATAAGGAAGGTAGAACGAAAAAAGTGGATTGAACCTCAACAAAACTTGGGTTCAAGCTCCAATTAAATTACTAGTAGAGCGAAAAGAGAAATGTGGCTGGAACAACAGTATCCTACAAGATACTTAAAGAAAATACCGTACTGTGATTCTAAATCGAGTTAGAAATCATTGTATTACTTATTTACTATTAGTATAATACATATTGATTTACTATATTGATTGCAATTGATTGCAACGAAATCTTTCAGGATTTGGTTTTGAGTTAGCAACTTTTATTTATTTATTTTCATTCCTTTCTTCTTCACTTTTGATCGGAAAATAGAAGAGTTGGGTGAATTAAAAACTCAAAGGGGGTTCATGGCCAAGAGTAAAGATGTCCGAGTAACGATTATTTTGGAATGTACCAGTTGTGTTCGAAACGTCGTTAATAAGGAATCAACGGGCATTTCCAGGTATATTACTCAAAAAAATCGACACAATACGCCTAGTCGATTGGAATTGAAGAAATTCTGTTCCTATTGTTACAAACATACAATTCACGGGGAGATAAAGAAATAAATCGAATCAAGTACTCGTATGTCAACCCTTCCCGAGAATATGAGAAAATAGGACATTAGGTATTTAGGTAACATTAGGTATTTAGTATGAGAAAATAGGACATTAGGTATTCAGGTATAATAATATATATTATATAATATATTAAGTAATATTAAGTATATAATTAGTTAGATATAATATATAACTAATATATAACAAATATTTTATTTATATATTAGTCTATATTTGTATTTCCTTGTCTATTCCACGCTTTCTTTTTAAAGTGAAGTTTTTAGTTTTAAATTATTCTATATGCACGTTAATAAATTTTTAACCTTTTTAACCTGGTATATGATTGTATCAATATTCTTTTATTTTTTTTATTCTATTTTTTATTTAGTTCTTATTTTTTTAATAATTTTTTTCTTTATTCTCGAGTCAATTATTTATTTTTTTAGTTTACCGTCTTCGAATGATTTTTAGTTTACAGTCTTCGAATGATTAGGAGTTGGATTTTCATTGATTAGGAATTAGATTTTTAATATCACTAACTATTTTTTTTTTTATTTTCTATTCGTGCATAATGATTATTTTAATATTGTTAATTTTAATATTGTTGTTAATTTTAATATTGTTAATATTGTATTATTTATTATATTGTATGATTTATTCATTACTATATTTTTAGTTATTACTATATTTTGTATTTATTACTATATTTCATTATTTATTTCTTATTTTATTAATTATTTATTATTTTCGTGTCGGTTCTATATATATTTATAAATTATATTTATTTATTATTTATGTATTATCACAGTTATAGATATTTATTTAAATTATATTTATATATTAAATATATTAAAATATTAAATTATATTTATATTTTATATATTAAATATATTAAAATATGAAATTATATTTATATATTAAATATATTAAAATATGAAATTATATTTAAATAAATATCTATAAATAATATAATAATAAAATAAACTAATAAAATAAACAAATAAATAATAAATAAATAATTAAAATAAACTAATAAAATAAACAAATAAATAAGAAATAAATAATAAATAAATAATACAATAATAAAAAAAACAAAGCAAATCGTATTTATTCTATTAATTCTATAATTTGAATTTGATCCGATCAAAATAGGATTTTAGAAAAGGATAGGATAGGATTATTTTTAGAAATAAGGAATAAAGAAATGATGGATAAATACAAGCGATCTTTTCGTAGGCGTTTGCCCCCGATCCAATCGGGGGATCGAATTGATTATAGAAACATGAGTTTAATTAGTCGATTTATTAGTGAACAAGGAAAAATCTTATCTAGGCGAGTAAATAGATTGACTTTAAAACAACAACGATTAATTACTATTGCTATAAAACAAGCTCGTATTTTATCTTCGTTACCCTTTATTAATAATGAGAAACGATTTGAAAGAAGGGAGTCGACCGCTAGAACTAGAACCAGAAATGAGAAACGATTTGAAAGAAGAGAGTCGACCGCTAGAACTACTGCTCTTAGAACCAGAAATAAATAGGCTTACCCTTCAATTGACTCAAAATTATCAAACGTAGACTGATGCTTTATTCAAAAAATCTGATAATCAAAATTGTCGTGTCGTAAGAAAAAAGAAATAAATAAAAGAATCGAATCGGGTTGGGGAAGAAAAATAAATTTTTTTTTTTTTTATTGAGCGTCTTCGCTCATCTTGTTTTCTTGTTTTGATGACCTTATCAGAATTTTTTTATCATATTAATTTCTACTCTACCTCCCTCGAGTTCATTCTCGAGGGAACCCCATTTCATTTAAAGCATTTCGGTGGATTCCTTCCGATCTCCTTATTTTATAATCTCGTTGGAAATCATATAAAGACAATTCCTATTTGAGATAGCTATTTGTGCAAGTATTTTACGATTAAGAAGCAACTGTTTCTTGTACCGATTTTTTATTAATCTACTATAATTATAGGATACCCCCATTCCTCGAATTCCTGCATTTATTCGAGTGATCCACAAACGACGAAAATATCTTTTTTTCCTATCTCTATCCCGATCAGCCGAAACCAAAGCTCTTACTCTTTGTCTCCGAGCTATATATCCCTCTTTCATTCTGGTCATTGAATAAAAGAAATTTTGATGAATAACTAATTCTTTCTTTCAGTTATTCTTTTCTAGTCTATTAATAACAAAACGGATTCTTCCAATGTATAAAATAAAAATTCCAATGGCTTTTGCTACTATAACCGTCCCGCCCACGATTTTTCCTTTTTTCTAGGCATTTCATTTCGCCTTGAAATAAGAAATTGTATTGATACTAGGTATCAAAAAAGCATATTAACTAAAATAAAGGAGTAAATAGAAATGGATAAATAAATAGTGGGTTCCATCGTTTCTATGGTTACTTCTTAAACGGTGAGGTCCCCTCTATACACCGGAGCTCATTCCTTCATTTAACATTTAATTGGTAACTTGTACAGTTCACACTCTTCGGCTCTACTCATAAATTTTTCAGTAATAGATCTTTCACAACGAGATCTATCTTATACAGTAACGGTATGTAATTAGGAGGATTAATTGGGTAGCTGACCCTGTTAGTCCGTTCTTTGCAAGAGTCGAAGCATAATCTTTTTGCTTTTTAAATAGGATTTTCCCCGCTTAATGGATAAGCATTTGCTACCAATGGGGAATTTTTAAAAAATTCCAAGATTGGATTTGCGCCAATGGAAACCATAAATTTCATACACAATAGAAGGATATGGTAGATCTATCTTTTTTAGATAGTGAACGGAAGAACCCCATTCTATTCACTGGTACTGATCGTTGATACTGAAAAATTGTTTCCTTTTTCTCAGCCCATGATCTGAACAAGTCGCACATACACCCTAGTACATCTTCCTCGGCGCTGAGGACATCCCCGAAGAGCAGGGGCTTTCGTGACATTTCTAATTGGCTGTCTTGCATTTCTAATAAGTTGTTTAATAGTTGGCATGCTGAATCATATACAATCATATACATAATAGACTGGTTTAGATCGATCCTAACCAGATGATTATGAATTACTTCTTTTTCTCTTTAATAGATTAATAAAATATTAATCTATTAAAGAGAAAAAGAAGGAAAGGAATAAGAGGGATTAAATCAATCTAAATCAAAATTAAATGGTGTTCCATTGTCGTCAAATGGTGGTCTTCCATTGCCATTGTCGTCAAATGGTGGTCTTCCATTGCCATTGTCGTCAAATGGTGGTCTTCCATTGCCATTGTCGTCAAATGGTGGTCTTCCATTGCCATTGTCGTCAAATGGTGGTCTTCCATTGCCATTGTCGTCAAATGGTGGTCTTCCATTGCCATTGTCGTCAAATGGTGGTCTTCCATTGCCATTGTCGTCAAATGTGGTCTTCCATTGCCATTGTCGTCAAATGGTGGTTTCTTGCATTGTCGTATGGTGGTCTCCATTGCCATGTCGTTAACTAGTCTCCATTTTTTATTCACTATAGGTTGTTATTCACTATAGGTTTGTTATTCACTATAGGTTTGTATTCACTATAGGTTTTCATTCACTATAGTTTTTCATTCACTATAGGTTTTCATTCACTATAGGTTTTTCATTCACTATAGTTTGTTATTCACTATAGGTTTTTCATTCACTATAGGTTTTTCATTCACTATAGTTTTTCATTCACTATAGGTTTTTCATTCACTATAGGTCTCGATTCTGTACGCACTATATGATCACAATTCCATGATCTTTGGGCTTCTTTTGCTGACATAAATTATCTCTTTCCATGTCTTTGTTTATAACCCATCGGGCTGGCCCGTTCTTTTACATAAGGCCTCTATGATGTCTTCTTGCATTTTCATTACTTCGTCTGTTTCCATGACCCAGTCTTTGAAGCCATCATCCTTAAGCATACTAATAGGTTGATGGATCATTACCCTGATGATATAACATACTTCTAACTCACATAATGAGGCGAGAAGAATAGCTATAGAATTGAACAACCGTACAGGCATTTTTTGCGCATTGCATACGGCTTTACAATTGCATACGGCTTTACAATGGAATTCTCTTTTTTCTTTCATCGAAAAAAAGAGAAAATATAGAGTCTATTAGACCCAGATTAATAAATAATCCAATTACCATCCTTCTTTTTCTTTTTTTTTCGGAAAAGTTTAAAAATACTATGATGGCTCCGTTGCTTTATATATTTATTTCGTCTGTGATTCAGCAATCCCAAAGTTTCTTTTTTTTTTTTCAAAAAAAAAAAGAAAGAAAAAAAATAGTCTTTTTTTTTTTCGTACTCTTTCATAACATAAATATTGTTAATAGCCTCTGGTAGGAAAAGAAAAAAAGTTTGTGACGCCTGAGATGGGCCCACGATAGCTAAGATCAAATTGGAAATGCCCCTTCTCTCATACTACTCTTTCGATACATAATCTAATATTTTTTTTTGAAAAAAAAAAAAGAAATAAAAAAAAATTTCATATCGAATTCAAAGTGCCATGCTATTATTACTTACTAATTCATATTTCATATGGCGAAGGCATAGTCTTCTTTTTTCTTTCCATCAATAATAAAAAAAAAAAACTCATTGGCGCCGAGCGTGAGGGAATGCTCTGCGTTTGGTAATTTCTCCTCCGACCAAGAGAAAAGCTGCGATTGAAGCGGTCAATCCCATGGCTAGTGTATGCACATCTGGTTCCACTGCTTGCATAGTATCAAAAAGAGATAATCCAGATACTATCCCTCCGCCAGGAGAGTTTATAAAAAAAAACAGGTCTCGGCTATTACTCTCTATACTGAGATAGATCATAATACCCGCAAGTTGATTCGAGGTCTGGATATCAAGCTCTTTGCCCAAAAAAAGCAATCTTTCTCGATAAATTCGGTTGATTAGGATAAAATTGTATCCCTTAGTAGCCGTACAGGCACCTTTTGATGCATACGGTTCAACAAAAATTGCGAAAAAAAATCAATGTGTAGATTCCAGCCATCCTTTGTTTTTTCTAGTCGGACCTTTCTAACTTCTAATTTCTAATGAAGGGGCTTTTTCTTACATTTTTTAAATAAAATGAAATTTAAAATTAAATTAAAGAAAGATGAGTTTTGGCCCGTTTTCCTATAATATAGAAAAAATTCGCTAAACTTATTGCACAAACTTTTCATTGATCCATTTTTTTTTCATTGCGATTCAATCCAAATCACGATGTCATTTTCTTGTTCCTGAATGGGGTTCGTCAATTTTTTATTCAATTTTTTTAGGTTTATGCTCTACTCCGAGTAAAGATCTGCCCGATTTTTATTTGCACATATAGGACAAATGACCCAATACCACGTCTTTTTGCTATGATTTCATTTCCTTTTTTTATTTTAATTTAATTCCTTTTTCTTTCATGTTTTTCGCCAAATATTCAACGTATTTCCCATATTATTCGATTGATTAACAGTTTGAAATCGCTCTTATTTATAATTAAAAAAAAAAAGAAAAATTATGATTATGATATAGGTGGTAATCATAAATATATTACCAATTGGGTTTTTTCTAAACGGAGCCTGGATACTTCATTTTATCAGTCCAACCAAGCCAACCATAAATCATTCTAATTGAAAATATTAATCTGGATACACCCCCATGAAATGGATCTCTAATTGCACTTCATTACACTTCCCGCTACAAATTTTTGATAATTCAATCAATCTTTTTGGGGCGAAACAGGGGATATCTCGATCGGGCGAGAGAACGGGGGAATCCCATATGACCCAATATATTTGACAAGTCGCACTATATGTCAACCCAGCTTGCATCGTTATCTCCCGGAACTTGAAAAGGAACTTTTGGAATACCAACAGGCATAAAGTAAAAAGAATGTAAAATTATATTTCGCTTTGATTGTGGAAGCGTAATACGTAATGTAATACGTAATAATGGTCTTATCTTAATAATATGTAATATTATATTTCACTTTGATTGTGGAAGCGTAATACGTAATGTAATACGTAATAATGGTCTTATCTTAATAATATGTAATATTATAATATGTAATATTATATTTCACTTTGATTGTGGAAGCGTAATACGTAATGTAATACGTAATAATGGTCTTATCTTAATAATATGTAATATTATAATATGTAATATTATATTTCACTTTGATTGTGGAAGCGTAATACGTAATGTAATACGTAATAATGGTCTTATCTTAATAATATGTAATAATGGTCTTAATAATATGGGCCTTTATCATATTTTATACATAGATAGACTAAGGCCATAAAATAAAGAAAGGCGGAATGAATGAAAGAGAATTCTTACGAATAGGTCCTTTGAATGATGAACAAATAGGGATGCATTCATTCATAAAAAATAGGATCAACCCCCATTGCGTATTGATACTTATCGAGTATAGAATAGATCTGCTTCTCTTTTTTCTTCTGAGCCGAATTCTTCCCTTATTACTAATGGAATAGAACAAACATTAATCCTTTCTCCGAAAGAATCCACCGAAAAGGGGAGGTATTCCAATGCAATAAAGTTACATAGTGTCTATTTTTCGTTGATTTGATAAAGGGGTATTTCCATGGGTTTGCCTTGGTATCGTGTTCATACTGTCGTATTGAATGATCCCGGTCGCTTGCTTTCTGTTCATATAATGCATACAGCTCTGGTTGCTGGTTGGGCCGGTTCAATGGCTCTATATGAATTAGCTGTTTTTGATCCCTCCGATCCCGTTCTTGATCCAATGTGGAGACAAGGTATGTTCGTTATACCCTTCATGACTCGTTTAGGAATAACCAATTCATGGGGCGGTTGGAGTATTACGGGGCGGACTATAACAAATCCGGGTATTTGGAGTTACGAAGGTGTGGCCGGAGCACATATTGTGTTTTCTGGCTTGTGCTTCTTGGCAGCTATCTGGCATTGGGTATATTGGGATCTAGAAATTTTTTGTGATGAGCGCACAGGAAAACCCTCTTTGGATTTGCCCAAGATTTTTGGAATTCATTTATTTCTCTCAGGAGTGGCTTGCTTTGGCTTTGGCGCATTTCATGTAACAGGATTGTATGGTCCTGGAATATGGGTGTCCGACCCTTATGGACTAACCGGAAAGGTACAACCTGTAAATCCAGCGTGGGGCGTGGAAGGTTTTGATCCTTTTGTTCCGGGAGGAATAGCCTCTCATCATATTGCAGCAGGGACATTGGGCATATTAGCGGGCTTATTCCATCTTAGTGTCCGTCCGCCCCAACGTTTATACAAAGGATTACGTATGGGAAATATTGAAACCGTCCTTTCCAGTAGTATAGCTGCTGTCTTTTTTGCAGCTTTTGTTGTTACTGGAACTATGTGGTATGGTTCAGCAACTACCCCCATCGAATTATTTGGTCCTACTCGTTATCAATGGGATCAAGGATACTTCCAGCAAGAAATATATCGAAGGGTTAGTGCTGGGTTAGCCGAAAATCAAAGTTTATCAGAAGCTTGGTCTAAAATTCCTGAAAAATTAGCTTTTTATGATTACATTGGCAATAATCCGGCAAAAGGAGGATTATTCAGAGCGGGTTCAATGGACAACGGGGATGGAATAGCCGTTGGGTGGTTAGGACACCCTATCTTTAGAGATAAAGAAGGGCGTGAACTTTTTGTACGTCGTATGCCTACTTTTTTTGAAACATTTCCGGTTGTTTTGGTAGACGGAGACGGAATTGTTAGAGCGGATGTTCCTTTTAGAAGGGCAGAATCGAAGTATAGTGTCGAACAAGTAGGTGTAACTGTTGAGTTCTATGGTGGCGAACTCAATGGAGTGAGTTATAGTGATCCTGCTACTGTGAAAAAATATGCTAGACGTGCTCAATTGGGTGAAATTTTTGAATTAGATCGTGCTACTTTGAAATCCGATGGTGTTTTTCGTAGCAGTCCAAGGGGTTGGTTTACTTTTGGGCATGCTTCGTTTGCTTTGCTTTTCTTCTTCGGACACATTTGGCATGGTGCTAGAACCCTGTTCAGAGATGTTTTTGCCGGTATTGATCCAGATTTGGATGCTCAAGTGGAATTTGGAGCATTCCAAAAACTTGGAGATCCAACTACAAGAAGACAAGTAGTCTGATGCAAGATTGCTTTGTTATTTTTCGCTTCTATTTTCTGTTTGTGATTTGACATAGGCTGCTGTAAAAATCTTGATTAAAATCGCTGCCTTTTCTTTGATTCTTGTTCTTTCGTTATTTTATTCGGGAGATGATTCTAAATAAATAGGTACGGAAGCTATAATTGTAAACCACGATCGAATTTATGGAAGCATTGGTTTATACATTCCTCTTAGTATCTACTCTAGGGATAATTTTTTTCGCTATCTTTTTTCGAGAACCGCCTAAAGTTCCAACTAAAAAAATGAAATGATTTTTCATTATCTCAATTGAAGTAATGAGCCTCCCAATATTATATTGGGAGGCTCATTACTTCAATTAGTCCCCGTGTTCCTCGAATGGATCCCTTAATTGTTGAGAGGGTTGCCCAAAGGCAGTATATAAGGCGTACCCAGTAAAACTTACAAGTAAACCAGATATAGAGATGGCGACTAAAGTTGCTGTTTCCATTATTATATAATTATATAAATAATATATATAAATATAAATATAAATATAAATAATATAAATATAAATATAATTTCAAGATCACAATGGATCTATGATAAGATCGTTTATTTACAGCGGAATGATATACAAAGTCAACAGATCTCACTGAATACAAAATAAGATTTATGGCTACACAAACCGTTGAGGGTAGTTCTAGATCTGGTCCAAGACGAACTGTTGTAGGGGATTTTTTGAAACCATTGAATTCGGAATATGGTAAAGTAGCTCCTGGATGGGGAACGACTCCTTTGATGGGTGTCGCAATGGCTTTATTTTCGATATTCTTATCTATTATTTTGGAGATTTATAATTCTTCCGTTTTACTGGATGGAATTTCGCTGAATTAGATTCACAAGAACCACGAAGCCTCGCTTTTCAATACAAAAAGTGAAACTTTTAGTTCTCGGATTTTTTTTAGCCCATTCTATTTTGGTAGTTCGACCGCGAAATTTTTTTGTTTCTGTATTTCCGGAATATGAGTGTGTGACTTGTTATAATTGATCCTATTGATAGTACAGAAAATGGGTCTGTCCTCTTGATCGAGATAGTTTTATCCCGTCGGATAGCCATTCTAGTATCTGGAGCACGGAATATATGAAATGGATCACGAAGTATTCGAACTATGATTCATACTTAATATTCAAACCTCGCGGCCGGACTCAAAAAAAAAAAAAATTTTCAAAGAAAGAGGTTTTTTATTTATAAATCGAGAAATTTTTTCTTCTTTCAAACTCTCATTTAGTTTATGCTTATTTTGATCAAAGGACAAACCTTTCTTTTCTTTGTATTTTTATTTATTATATCTATTCTATTCATTGAATAAGTGATGATCCAATAATTCTTACTCAAAGAATCTTTGGACTTAGTTTGAAGGTTTTATTGAATCATCGCGGTTCTGGTATGAATCTGAAGTTTCAATTGATTCATAGGGTCTTAACAAGAGAATTCCTATTAAAAATAAAGAAAACAAGAATAAAGCCACATTCCATATAAATAACAAATCAAAGCAAAGAAAAAGAAAAGAAATAAGTAGGTAAATAGAAGATTCAAGAGGCCTGATCAACATAAAGACGAATGCGCCGACTTGATTTTTTGGCATTATAATTACAACTACAAAAAAGAGCTTTCGGATTTTTACTCTTTTGTGTCTTCAGATAAAATTGAATGAAAAGATTAAGAAGTTTCAAACTTTCTATTCCATATCCGTTTCAGCTATTATTTGGGTGTTTTTGTTTGAGCTGTACGAGATGAAATTCTCATATACGGTTCTCAGGGGGGGAGTCCTCTTGGTTTACCTATCTCAATAAAGTCTATGATTGGTTCGAAGAACGCCTCGAGATTCAGGCGATTGCAGATGATATAACTAGTAAATATGTTCCTCCTCATGTTAACATATTTTATTGTCTAGGAGGAATTACGCTTACTTGTTTTTTGGTACAAGTAGCTACAGGATTTGCTATGACTTTTTACTATCGTCCAACCGTTACTGAGGCTTTTACTTCTGTTCAATACATAATGACTGAAGCTAACTTTGGTTGGTTAATCCGATCAGTTCATCGATGGTCGGCAAGTATGATGGTCTTAATGATGATCCTGCACGTATTTCGTGTCTATCTCACTGGTGGTTTTAAAAAACCTCGCGAATTGACTTGGGTTACAGGCGTGGTTCTGGCTGTGTTGACTGCATCTTTTGGTGTAACAGGTTATTCCTTACCTTGGGACCAAATTGGTTATTGGGCAGTCAAAATCGTAACAGGCGTTCCGGAAGCTATTCCGGTAATAGGATCGCCTTTGGTAGAGTTATTGCGTGGAAGTGCTAGTGTGGGACAATCCACTTTGACCCGTTTTTATAGTTTACACACTTTTGTATTACCCCTTCTTACTGCTGTATTTATGTTAATGCATTTCCTAATGATACGTAAGCAAGGCATTTCTGGTCCTTTATAGAGAATATAGACCATAGCTATATTGTAACCAATCATTTATCTTATTACTTGCCAATCATTTATCTTATTACTTGGGGGAGGAACAATAGTATTTCATTGCTACAAATATGGATTGTTGAAAAAAAAAAAAAATAAGACATGTATTTGGATATTTCCTTTCAACTCCACAATATTCTATTATTTATTTGATATGACATGAATAGTTGAAGGGAATTCCCCGAAGAGAAAATGGATTATGGGAGTGTGTGACTTGAACTATTGATTGGGCCATGCAGAAATATGCCTTTATCTGCTACATTGGAATTCACAACCAAATGTGTCTTTGTTCCAACCACCGTGTAAGCCCCATACAAAGGATAGGCTGGTTCGCTTGAAGAGAATCTTTTCTATGATCAGACCTGACGATGTCGTGTATGAACAGGGCTCCGTAAGATCCAGTAGAATAAGTGATTTGGCATAATGCAAATTAGATTTTATTTATTTATTTTTATTTTTTTTTTACTTTCTTATCTTAATAGTATGAAAATACATTCATTTCTTCTGCATCGACCCGATTTATTATTATTATACTATCGGAGTGAAACAAGGGATCTAAAGAAGAGCAAAGGCTAGACTATATTAGTAACAAGTAAATCCTTTGTATGTAAAAAATCTCGATATATTTTTGGGATAAAGGTGAATCGCAAGGCCTAAGACGACCCAGAAAGCACTTGATCACGATCAACTTTGTACGCCTACTTGGGTATTGAGCATTTACCTGTAAAAATGGCATTCCTTGGAATGTATAGTTGCAACTTCGTAAAATGGAATCAGGTAACTTTTTTCTTACATATGAAATCATTCATATATGTGTGGATAACATATAGATTCATTTTATATGTATCCGTTTGTATCCATTTGATTCGATTGATTTTTGCTTGAGCCGGATGATGAAAAATTATCATGTCCGGTTCCTTCGGGGGATGGATCTAGAAAAATTCACCTATCCTAATAACAAAAAAACCTGACTTGAACGATCCTGTATTAAGAGCTAAATTAGCTAAAGGTATGGGTCATAATTATTATGGGGAACCCGCATGGCCCAATGATCTTTTATATATTTTTCCAGTAGTAATTCTCGGTACTATTGCTTGTAACGTAGGCTTAGCGGTTCTAGAACCTTCAATGATTGGTGAACCCGCGGATCCATTTGCAACTCCTTTGGAAATATTACCTGAATGGTATTTCTTTCCTGTATTTCAAATACTTCGTACAGTACCTAACAAGTTATTGGGTGTTCTTTTAATGGTTTCAGTACCTGCGGGATTATTAACAGTACCTTTTTTGGAAAATGTTAATAAATTCCAAAATCCATTTCGTCGTCCAGTAGCGACAACCGTTTTTTTGATTGGTACTGCGGTGGCCCTTTGGTTGGGTATTGGAGCAACATTACCGATTGATAAATCCCTAACTTTAGGTCTTTTTTAAATTGAATCAATTTTAAAATAAAATATCATGATGTGCGTATCTAGGGAGTAGTCACTTCAAAGTCAAAGTGAATTCTCCCTAGATACATTTATTCAATTCTGGTCCCAATATATGGATTGTGCTGAAGGTTCAAAATCCATTTTCGTTTTTTTTTTTTTTCTAATTTTCTAAAGTAAAAAAAAAAAAAATGAAATAAATCCTAAATCCAATGGATTTAAAATTTTGGTAAATCAATTTCGCAATGCTTTTCTACTTCTTTTCTAGAATGCCCAATATTTGTTTTACATCTTCTATGC